TTTTTTTCTGTTATTTACCTATTATTCATCTTTTATTTATTCATTCAACCTATGCCTGCCTATGACAATATATAATAAAACAATATATAATAAAAATTTTGAGCTCTACAAAAACAGTTTAGTTGGTACTTATAATAAAATTCACTTCTAATAATTTTCTGTTTTACTTATTATAAATTCTACAATTATAAACACACTACTCTTCAAATTTAACTGCCTCTTATCAACTAAGCTATTTATAGATTTTACAAAATATCTAATTACAAAATAACTAGTTTACTATTTTGTTCATATCAATATATATGTACTAGTTACATGACTCTAATCTAACTAAATGTTATGAACATATACCAATTACTAATTTTAGTTTAGGATATATGCAATTTTACATGACTTGCATATGCATAGCAGGGACATTGAAAATTTTAATATGTAATTTTTTCTAATTTCAAAATTTTTTGAATACAATTTTTATCATGTAATTATAAAATAATTGGCTATTAATTGTTTTAAACATGTAATTTCTTCTAATTCTATTATAGCATTTAAATAAATTAAAATTTTTATCTAAATTAATCAGGATTTTTACTTTTAATTAAAAGAACATTTTTGTGTTCCTGGTTTTAAGATAATCATTCACTATAAGTAACATGATGAGGCTGTTAACACAAAAGAAAAGTTTTAACTCTGATTTGATATACTGTAATTCCAGGTTAAGGCATATAAGAGAAGACAAGAATTAGAATAAAAATAGGTTGAAAAAAAGACTCAAAGAGAAGACCAGTTAGTACTTACTTACAGATAAACCATTAGCTAAATCTAATATGCCTTCTTTGACTTAGCCATCATAGGTTATAAAAAAATTGAAAAATATGCCAATTTTCTGAATTACATTATAAATATTTATCTAAATTTTTTAATATTATGAAGAGAAGAAATGCTAAGGGTAATGTAAAACATAGAATCAGATTGGTTTTACATTATTAAAAAGTACATATTTTTACATATTATGAAACCTAAAAATATAGCTAATATTATATATTATAGATTTCAAATGTCAGACATATTAGGTATATCTAATATATCAAATATATTTGATATATCTAATATATTGTCTATATTACATAAGTGCAATATATTTAATAAATTAGATATATTTAATATTTTAGACAAGTTTATAATATAAATAGACAAGATAGTTATTATAAATAAAAAGCAATTTGCCTAGGCAAAAGAACAGTAATTACAATTACAAAACATAAACTACTATCTAACCTATAATAAAAGTAAAATTGCTGTCTTATAAAAATTAGTTACTATTGTAAATTTTATCACTAATAATACCTATTCATCCTAAGAATAAACTAAACCTGTAATCAACTTGCTAAATCTAACATGTCTGTTTCAACTTAGCTACTGTAGACTATATAAGAGTTGGCTTAGTTTAGTAACAGACTCAATAGATTCTAAGAAGACAATATGTCTTGAATAAAACAAACCCTTGATCTAAATATTTTATACATAAAACCAAAATATATGCTAAGTAGTTACAAAGACAATAAGTCATTTAAAAATTATTTTGAAACTTTGACTTATCTCTCAGCCAAATCTAACAAGTCTTTTTTGACCTAAACTAATCCAAACATTGATTATATGAAGTAATCTTCACTCACGCAAAAGACTTATCAATTTTATAAATTTATTTTAATCAGTTACATTAGGCTACTTGCAGTATAATTTTTAGTTAACATTAGCTTTAAAACTTACAAGAAAGAGAAAAGAATAAAATGAAATGAGCATATGCATAAAATAAACAAATATGATTAATTAAGTGATTAGTAACATTTTAATTAGACTTTCATTTTTGTTAGTGTTAAAGGAAAATCCAGTTAAAGCCATAGTGTAATAATTATTGAAAATGTGACTAAAAATGTAACTGAAATCACAATCTGAATTATGACCCAAAACCAGTAATTGTGTAACCTGATTTTTTCCTATTGAATGCAAGAGAAGCCTCAAGATTCAGAACAAGTTATCTATAATTGTAAGCCTAGACCCCACATGTGACAATTATAGCTAACTTAAAAGGAAAAAACATAGTAGAATCACTACAATGTGCAACAAGAAAAAAATATGATACCTTACTTTCATGAGCTTACAACAGAACCTTCAACCTGTAAAGACATTTTAGGTTATGTGACTATAGCTCTATCAGTGGGACCTATGAAATAGAGGAGTTAATAAAAAGATGAAATCATAAGTCAAAGAGTGGAATTGTACAATTAACAGAAAAAAAAATTAATATAGAGAAAGAGAGAATGTTCCCAAGCATACTTCCCTAATAATTCAGTATAAAAACCCTCCATTTTTGACATTAAGTGGGATATGATCCCCTTGACCTCTCCTACTTCTGTAGTAAAAAGAATATTAATAAAAGAAACGGTGTTTATAAAAATTATAAAAAGTGCCAAGAGACACAAACATTCTTTAGAAAAGTCCTTATCCTTACCCAGTAATTTGCTCAAAAGCTGCCTTAGTTATTGCCAAATCGTATACGCCTCATTTTGCTTTCAAGTAAAATTATGTGCCATCAATGATTTTAAAGTGGCAATTCGTTGCATTTGCTCCTTTCTTGAATTCGCCCTATTGTCTTGTAACATTAGAAACTTCAGCTGAGGGATGATGATGATGTTAACTAAAGAATTATCATTGAACAGCCTTATTATTAAATTGACAGTTTAAATGATTTTGACCTAATAATTTCTAAATTTGAATTTTTATATACAAGCCACCATATAAACAATCATTTCTAAAAGATTTTATTTTTTGAAACCTCATTATTATTCAATTCCTTATTAACAGCCAATAAAATAAATCTATTATTTTATGGTTTTTACGCGATAAAATCATCTATAGTTATTGTATGCGAATTATCTCAATTTATAAAATATGATCAATCATTTTATCACATAAAAATATCATAAAATAATTGAATGTTTAATCTTATTCCATAAGCTGAAAAGGTAAACTTGTTGAGTAAAATCATTATTGCATACTACATAATCAATATTGATGTATTTTATGTTTTCTTTTATCATTCAGTTACCCAGCTGTACCGGCTGAGTTACCAACCAATCATCGTCGTCTATAAAATTCAGCAATTTAATATATATATTTTATAAATATTATTCCAAAAAAAATGTGCCTTTTATTTAAAGGAAGTAAATTTATACAATTTTCATAGTTTGAAAGTTCAAAACCACTTTTTATAGCTGTATCCATATACTGTTTTCCTTGTTTTCTATATATGAAAAATCAACAATATAATATAATAAATTAAAAAAATATCTATAATAGAGAATAAAAAAAATCCAATAATTATCAATTTATATTTTTTTCTAGCCATATGTTATGACTTTAGTTGGTGGTAAAATTAATTTTGAATTACAGCACGTGCCGTATTTTTTGCCGTAATTATAAATACGGAACCAAAATTAAGCAGATTGTGAGCCGTAGGACTGTGATCCTAACAGAACGGGTATGTCGATCACCTAGTTTACCGGCAGTATACGCTGTATTTGCTGTATACTATATATCCTATGCATCGGGTTGATACAATAATAATGGATATCAGTGGGATCAAGGGTATGATTAAAATAATATTATCATCAGTATAATTAGTATAAACATTATAAGTAATATAAGCGATATATCACGAATAGAGTGTATAACGTGTCCTATGTAAATGAAAGTATATGATAAAGGCTTCGAGCCTTACGAAGAAGACAGTTAGTTGTTCGTGATTCATATAAAATTCTGTCCCCTAATAATAAAACCTTGCTTTCACCCCAATTTCAAACCTACGATCATAAACACACCACTCGCCAAATCTAACCGCCCCTTATCGACTAAGCCACTCGTAGGTTACACGACATATCCAATTGAGAAGCGACTGACTCGCCGCTTCGTTCGTGTCAATATCGACCAAAAGCCTGGATCAGAATTTATTGGAAACAGGGTCGTATTAAGTAATGCCAAAACGTTCCGGTGTATATCGACCCAGAATTTTGGTCGATTTTCTGAACTTTGGCTTCACCAGCAATTAGATGCCATGGTAGAATGCTGTAATGCGGTAATTCAGTAATTCTACCACCAACTATAATTATGACATCTCACGTATATCTTCAATTAAAAACCTTTATTTTAGTTAAAGTTTTAAGTTTATTTATTAAATTTTTTTTTATGTACCATGATTCAAATGTGTGATAGTCACCGAAAACCTGTAAATTGATTCACGATTATTCACTGCATCGGACTTGACCCTTGTAAAATCTAGTCCAAAAATAATTATTATTATATAATCAAATACGTGTTAGCTTATAATTATAGTCACATATTGATCCGAAGTAATAGGTGATATAGAAGTGTTTATAATTATTAGCTGATACATATTTGATTACATAAACGATAATTATTTTTGGATCAGACTTTTCAAGGGTCAAGCCTGATAAAGTGAATGATCATGAATCAATTTACAGGTTTTCACTGATTGTCACTCAAATTTAGTATCCAAAATGTCAATATTTTGTTTAAGGAAAAGAATAGTATTTATTGATGTGCATTCTAATTACCTGGACGTAGAAATGACATCCACTAGAAGTTGATGTAGAAAGCATGGGCAAATAAGTAGATGCTAAATTGTAAGTTGTAGCTAGTACTTGATCGATTTTAAGATATTCATTTATTTTATTCTTATTATATGTTAATATTACTTATATCTGTCGTACGTTGGAATGGAATTATTGTAGATTTAGAATACACCTAGGTTGATTCCAAATAAACATAGGTTATATATGATAGAATTCTAAAATGTGTCAGAGCCGTTAAAGAACTCCAATTCAACTTTAAATAAAATTAAGTGTATTCTGAATTAATTTGTCGAGTAGTTTTTTAAATAAGCTTATTCAGGGCTAGGTCCCATAGCTTAGTTGTTAATAAGGATGGCTCCGAAAGTATTTTGGCATGCCGAAAGTCATGCCGAAAGTCATGCCGAAAGTCATACCGAAAGTCGAAAGTCGAAACCCTTACCAAAAGTCGAAACCCTTACCGAAAGTCGAAAGTCTTACCGAAAGTCGAAGCCCTTACCAAAAGTTCTACCGAAAGTCGAAACCCTCACCGAAAGTCATACCGAAAATCGAAAGTCTTACCGAAAGTCAAGGCCAATCATATCTTTACACAGATACTTTTTTAAAATCAAAAAAGTATCTGTGTAAAGATATGATTGGCCTTGACTTTCGGTAAGACTTTCGACTTTCGGTATGACTTTCGACTTTCGAACATTTCGGTAAACCAAACCCTGTTCGAAAGTACTTTCAGTAGACTTTTGATTTCGGCAGGTACCGAAAGTACCTACTTTCGGAGTTGTTAAGCTCTCATCCTCCCCACAAACAAGGTCAACGGTTCGAGGTAAAATACTCTATAACCAAAAATGGAGCCTATAATCGGATGCGAAGTCCTGTGAAAGTTATATTTTATCTAAGGAATTCCCAGAAGAAAACCGGTATGGCAGAGCGCGGGCACTACTATAGTGAGAAATGCGGAGAATGTAATCAACGTTTGTGGAAAGGATTGGCCTTACCTAATATGGAATCACCTCTGGCGTCATAAATCCAAATAGGTGTAGTCGTGGGATCTACTTCCATTCGGTAGA